ATGTCACATATAGAAATTTTTTGATATTTGCAACCATAGTAAAACAAAGATGTATATTTTTGATATTTATTTCATATATTTAAATGCCATTTAACAAAGAAAAATCAACCAAAAAAATGAGTTCCCGTGTCACCTGACACACGTGTCATAGGTTCGCCATCACTGCTTCTAGACTCTGCATACCTCACTACCTCCACAAACTAACACACACACCTCACACCCATTTTCTCCACTGACAGTCTCTGTAAAAAGTCTCAGAAAAAAAATGTATTCACAATTACCATCTCAATAATGCCCTAACCTATCAGGGTAATTATATTGTGCCACCTTCATACCAAGCACTTTGACAAGACACTCTACAGATCCTTGAGCTTTTGGAAGGTCTGGGTAGTGAATGTAAAGTTTATGTGACCATCTCAGGTGCTTTAGAGGCAGAGTTGGAAGATGCACATCTAGAACTGCACGCCTGGTCCAATGCAGTAATCACCAGCCACACGTGGCTGATGGGCACCTGAAAAGTGGCTAATCCGAAGCAAGATGTGGGGTAGGACACACAGGGTTCTGAAGACTTGGTACCAAAAAGTAATATGAAGTACCTCGCTAATAATTTTTATGTTTGTTATAGGTTGAAATAAATTTTGTTTTACATAAAAAAAAACATTAAGATGAAATTCACCGGTTTCTTTTTATTAATGTGGCTACTAGAAAACTTAGTCACATGTGGTTTATGCTGTATTTCTATTGGAAACCACTGCTCTCGCATGACTTCAGGTACGAGTACTCTAGGGTATTTATATAATTTACCCAAGATTCTAAATCACTGGAGTGTGCAACTGAAAGGGTTTCTATTTCTTTTCTTTTTCCATCACAACTCTGTCCATACCTCCCTTGTCCTGGGCTCCATCTGAAAACCTCAAGTAGGATTCTGTTTCTCTCTCGTTTTCAGCTTTTCCCCACCTCCACTTCCCAGGTAGAGGGAAACAATTACAGCCCTCCACTGCACCCGGCCCTCTTCACCCCAGGGCTCAGAGCAGAAAGAAGCAAACGGG